CACTGGGGGACAGGAGTGGGCTAATAGGGGCCAATGGGAGAAAAGGGGAGACATGTAATACATTTAACAAAGATTTTTTAAAAATGTTAATTAAACAACAACAACAAAATAAACAGAGCAAGGCTGAACACTGTGACATACATGAGGCTGCTACAGCTGGTTGGGAGTCATATCAATTTTTTTTGTTTTTATCTAAGTCTTCTGTAAACCTTGAGGCAGAAGTTCTTTCAGAATACTCCATGAAAGATACTGCAACTAGTGGTCTAACTGGGACAAAACACTGCCAAATGGCTGGGTTTGATTGTGGTATATGCGGAACTTGAAGGGAACTCTCGGGGTTGTTTGAGGTTGTCTGAAAGTTACTCCCAGCCTTTAATCTGCCTTCCCCTCAGGACCTGGTGTGCAGCCGGTTTAGTATGCTGTATCTGTCCCCTCTGCCTGTTTCCACCCTGGAGGGAAAAGACCCTCGGGGTGAAATCACTTAGGTAGCTTCTTCATAAGTCTAATTTTGGGGAGACTATTGTTGTGGCTGTTGCAGTGCTGGCTTTCTGTCCCCACATGGCCTCTTTCTGCTCTGCTGTACAGGGATGTCCCAAGGAAGGTCTGAAAACAGTAGTCCTCAAAGGAACAAGAGGCTCCTTTGCCCTGGCATTGATTTGATCTCATGTGACTCAAGACATTTGGAAGAAAGTCCAAAAGTTTGCTTTGACCTGTTGAAGGTTAAAGAAGTTGCCTTTGAGCACGTGAGCTACTCAGGGCAAAATGGTTAATCATTATATTATTGGGCTTTGGCAATAAAAACCCTATCTGAGTTCAGCAGAAAAGTTTTGTGAGGTTCGAAGCTAAAGGAACTTTAATGTTTTTTTTTTATTATTTATTTTTAAAACTTTTACATTTAACAAATAACCAGAACCAAATATGTCAGGATTGGTTGTTGTTTAAATTTTGATTATAGAAATATGAGCATGTTTATTATTCTTTCTCTAATTTTTTAAATTCTCAAAATAAGTTTTGAAAAGAAAATAGTCCTGGAAAAGAAACAGGGTACTCTGTTAAATTTATTTCATGTTTCTTTGTGATAGCAAATACTTATTAATTGAATTGAAGTAATGTGTGTGTGTGTGTGTGTGTGTGTGTGTGTGTGTGTGTGTTTGGTGGCCACACACAGTTCTGGCCACTTGTATTCTGTATGTTTATGGGCAACGTAGTTAACATATACCAATGCCATTGAGTCCCAGGCTTAGCCATTATTCAGGTCTAACTTACATAAATCATATAGTTCAAAGCTGAGCAGTTTAGATGTGTTGTCATTTCTTTTAGCCCAAAGGTCCAAGCAGAGTAGGTGCTACATGCTTTCAGGTTGTCAAGGATGAAAGTGCTCAGATTACATCTGTCGATGAGGACCAGCTGTGAGACTGAGGGAATAAGGAACACAGGAAGCTGTCACTGCCACGGAAATGGGACATTGTTCAGGAACACCTGAGCCTCTAATGCTCATATAGCAGCTGCAACAATTCCAGTGGGGGAGGTTGTTTCATAGCAGGTCCTGGCCTCTGGATTTTCATTTCTAAGGTCCATAATTGTGACTCTACCACTGGCTATTCATCTTTTGCTCATCCTGTCCTTAACCAGTCTACTTTGTAGGTCTTCATTTCAAAATTGTCCAAGGATGAACTGATGGGTTGGCCACATGCCATTAGCACAGACTCCCACTGGGCTGTCCTCTGGAGCCAGGCTGCAGGTTCACCTGTGCACAGCTGCCTTCGGTTCAGCTTCCCATCTTGTCCCAGTTCAAAAGTCATAGTTTTGGCTGACATGGGACACAGCCGTTGGTAATGAAATCCTGAAAGGAGACTGCAGGTTTGCTACCCTGTTTCCCCGAAAAATAAGACAATGTCTTATATTAATTTTTGCTCCCAAAGATGCGCTAGGTCTTATTTTCAGGGGATGTCTTATTTTTCCATGAAGAAGAATAAGGTACACATTTATTGTTAAATGAAAATAAAGGAAATTTATTACCTGTGTACAGTATGGTAGTACAGTAGTTGTCAACACAAACCAGACAAACTGTGAATCCTACAGTATCAAGAATTTACTCATTTATTCAATGACAATCATGTCATCATCTTCTGGAACATCATCATAACAATCCAATTCCTGAATTTCCTGGTGAATTTCTTGTGACTCCATTTCTTTCAGAATCAGTGGACCAAATCTCTCATGTTTAGCAATAGCATTCTGAGACAGAGCCTTATATTCGGGGGATGCCTTATATTTCACTCAGAAGGAAACCTGTAAGTAGGTCTTATTTTTGGAGGGTGTCTTATTTTTTGGGAAACACAGTAGATACACTGAAGCTCCCTGAAGGGAACACACGAACCTGTTGTCTAAATTCAAGCTCAGCAGGTTGGAGCTCAGGTGTTAGCAGCATTCATGAGGGAGGAAGTGCATACAAGTTCCTCTTTTTGTAATCTCTTCTATATCGAGTACCTAGAATCATCAGATTTTAAGGCAATAAATTGTGCCAAAAAGCCCCATAAATAAATCATTCCAGATAGGATTATTTTTTTAAAATAAGAGAGCCTTTATAGTTTTGGAGGAAGAGTCAGGAAGAGGAAGAAGTTCCAATTGATATGTTTGAGAGAAAGAGTCTGAAGATGGTTTCCATCCCTCCTGCTTCCCATAGCTTGATGTCCATGGACAAATCTGTAACTAACTTGGGCATCGGTTTCTGTTATCAAAGTGAACAAGTTAGACTAAATAAAAAAAAGAAACGTTCAATAATGCATTTCATTGAAATATCTATAGTTATTGGATTAAAGCTAAGTTTATTGGATTCAGGTAACATATATATCTTTCCAAATGGGCAAAATTGGGAAACAAAAGGGCAGGCAGGCATTAGCAGTAATGTTTTTGTTCCTATAAATGTGAACAAGAACTGTAACAAAATCGCTTAATAATTATAAAAATTTATTTGTATAATAGAGCTCAAATTTACATTGAATAACATTATCATTACAAAATTGAAGGCAGTGAATATTTCCCTTTTCTCATGAAATATAAAATATACCAAGTATCTAGGGATATTATACCTTAAAGAAACAGTCTAGAGATTAGTTTCTGGCAATATGGCAAAGCAAATATTCTGAAAATCCTTTCAGATCGAAATACTTAAAAATATAGAGTGGATGTATATAGTTGATAGTTTCTTTGTAATGTATAGTTGAACTACTAAGAAAGTAACAAATTTTGAGAGACCAGTCTGAGAGCAGGAATCCCAAGGGATATGTGAAAACTACAACTGCTCTAAGTATTTTCATATCTTGCTAATCTAGACCTTTGGTTCTAATAGCAAACCTTAGTCTGTAGATGATGGGGGATCAAATTGGAGATCTCAAATGAAGCTAGTATCCAAAGGGCTACATTGTTAGTGAAATGGAGAACTAGGAAGAATATAACTTACTTATATGTGGAGGCTCTGATTTTGACTCTTGGTGGGCGGGCCAATGTTCTAATCACTGAGCAACATTGGCCAGGGCGGTTCTTTCTTGATTTTAGGTATCAAACTGATAAATCTTAAATTTTGAATCAGTCACTATGACATGGTACAATACTCTGTACAACTAATATAAGCTGCTTGATGAATTGGCTCAATAGTCAGAACTGATAAATGACAACACACATGAGACACTAGGAATTATGTTGCACAGAGAGCTAATCTGAAGTAAAATCTGAAGACACTATTTTGCATGTAATTCAGGAGATGAAGTGATGTGTTCTTGGGCTGAAGGACTTTTTACCTTGAAGCTTCAAGGTAAAAAGCATGACATGAAATCATGTACAACTTATTTGACTCACTGGCAGAAAAATCCCCAAGATTTTTTGGAAAGCATGAATGGTGCTCCCTAGGCAACTGTGTGTATGTGCTTGTGTCTGTGTCTGTTTGTGTATGCACTCTACCTTGTTTACTTAACCCATCATTGATTTTCAGTAGGACTGACTACATAATTTGTGAGGCCAAGTGCAAATGTCGGCTTTTGGTTCAATATTTATTCAGAGTTTTAAGGCGCTGACAGCAGAGCATTATATTGAGCACAGGGCTCTTCTGAGCACAGTTCCTACAGCAGGAAGCCGGATGGTGCTCATTAGAACATACTCCTTTCAGCCCTTCTCCCCAGGGACTGAGGGTAAGGATGAAGAACTCCTGCTTTTCAGTTTTACCTCTTGTCAGCCTTGTTTCATTCTTTCTGAGAAAAAAAATTAATTGTAAAATATTAGAAATTTTCTATCATAATAATTTTAAGTGTACAGTACAATGGTATTAAATACATATTTATTTGTCTAGCTAGGGATATTTGGGATTTTATCTTTCTCAAATTAATTTTTAGAGAGAGAGGAAAGGGTGGGGGTTGGGAGAGGGAGAGAGAAGAAGAGAGAGGGAAAGAGACGTTGAATTGTTGTTCCGCTTATTTATGCATTCATTGGTTGCTTCTTGTATGTGTCCTGACCAGGGATCGAATCCATAATCTTGGCATATGGGGACAATGCTCTAACCAACTGAGCTATCTACTTAGGGCCTTGTTTCTAACTTTTTACTATTACAAACAATGTCTTTATGAACATGAGTGTACAGATATCTGTTTGAGTCCCTGCTTTCAATTTTTTTGGTTATGTACCAAGAAATGGAATGCTGGATCATGTACTAGGTGTATTTTTAATTTTTTGAATAATCACCAAACTGTTTGCCACATGTTTTACATTCCTACCAATAGTGCATTGGTTCCAGTTTCCACATCCTCACTAATGCTTGGTTTATTTTCTCTTCTTTTGTTAGTAACCATACTAATGGGTGTGAAGTGACCTATCCTTGTGGTTTTGATTGATATTTCCCTACCGGTGAGGGATGTTGACCTTTTTGTTTTAAAAAATGTTTTTGTATACTCACAGTGATTACACCTTCTTTTTTTTTTTTTTTTTTTTTTTTTTTTTTTTTTTTTTAGGAAAGAGGTGAAGGCGCTGGAGCAGTCAGGCTCCCTGAAAGGCTCACTGAGCGCAGAACAGCAGCTGTCCCTTATCACTGGTTGCTCAAATATTCAAGAAGCAGTAGAGGGCGCTATGCACATTCAGGTGAGTTAAGGGCCTGTGCTCAATTCCATAAGGGCTAGAAGAAACAGGTCACCCCACATCCTTGGAAGAACAGGGGAAGATACAAAGCAGTTAAAAGTATGGACCTTCTGTCCTGGTGGGATGGCTCAGCTGGTTGGAGTGTCATCCCGTACACCAAAAAGTTATGGGTTAGATTTCCAGTCAGGGCACATACTTAGGTTGCCAATTGATCCCTGGGAATCAGCCAATGGATTGTTTTTCTATCTCTCCATTTCTCTCTTTATCAAATCAATTAAAAAATTATATCCTCAAGTGAGGTTTAAAAAAATTTGTGGACCTCTTGTAGCATGAAGGTCAGAATTATGATGATTTTTTTGTGGTTGTTAATCTTCATCCAAGGATACTTTTTCCATTGAGTTTTTAGAGGGAGTGGAAGGGAGGAAGGGAGAGAGAAGAGAAAGAGAGAGAAAGGGAGAGGAGAGAGAGAAAGAGAGAGAGAGAGAGAGAGAGAGAGAGAGAGAGAGAGAGAGAGAGATTGGTTGCCTTCCACACATACCCTGACTGGGGCTGTGAATCAAATCTGCAACCCAGTATAAGTCCTTGACTAGGATTCAAACCCATGAACCTTTGGTGCACAGGCCAACCCTCTAACCATCCTCTCAAACTGGCCAGGGCAAAATTATGATTTTTGTCATAGGAAACATTACCATCAAAACATCTTATAGGCTTTAAACCACTGGGGTGATGATCTTTCGGAGGTATTAGGATTTTGAGCAAAAATGGATTTTCTGGACAGCTTGTTTTATCTTTCTATTGAATGAGATTATATTCAATTTAAAAAAAATAAATATTTTTCCCATTTACAGTTTACATTCAATATTATTTTTTATTAGTTTTAGGTGTATAACATAGCTAAGAATTTGGGAACAAACCCAGCAGTTTGAGTACACACATTTTATGGTCAGCTGCTGCCCTGAGATTCAGGTCCAATACACGAAATCTTAGAATCTCAACTTTGTGCCTTTAAAATTTCTCTGGTTCATTTAACAAATATATATGAGTCAAGACATAAGTAGGGGCCTATTTTTCAATACTTTACCTTTTTCTAATATTTTCATCTCTATTTTATATGGTGAAAATTGTGTAGCATTGAGGAGGGATCAGATAGGTGCTTCTTTAATTAGCTTTCATTTGCCTGTTTCACCTTTACTGAGGTGCTGGTAAGCCTGTACAGGATTTGCTTCTAGAGAGAGCATGGAAGCTTTCTACCATGGTCTCAGCACAGAAGGCTCTTGCCACAAGCTTAAAGAATTGTGTGCTTCTTATGCTGATGTTGCTGGAGGAGGAGAAACAATTTATGTCCAACAATCCTCCCCAAACAGACATGTGGGAGCCGCCTGCATGGAGGCAGTGGTTGAGAACACAGACTTTAAGTCAGGCAACTTTGTATTGAACAGCTGTCTGACTTTGGCAAGTTTCTTAATGTACTAATAGGAGCACATTTCCTCACCTGTGAAATGGACATCATACCCCACGCACTGGGTGATGGTGAAGGAACCATCTGTGCTCAGGTCTAAGGGGACCCTAATGTAAGGCAAGGCTCCATTTTTCCAATGAGAAGATTAAAACCATCCTTTTTGGGGTCCATTTGATATGTAATATTTACATGATGGAAAAAGTATTTTAATTACCCATATATGTGATATGAAATATGAACATGTGAACATGTTTTCCAGAGCATATCTTTGCTTTCCTCTGAGAAGTTTTTAAAAATCCATATATGATGATGGCACTGGAAGTTTTATTTTTACTCAACTACGAATTCTCAGATCTATAGGTGTTTTTTTTCTCCCCGCAGTGGCATGCTTGAGATTTGTGGTCCCACAACATAACTTGCTGTGTTCCTTTTTAAAAAAAGTGATCTTAATAAAGCTTACTTACAAATTTTGTAGCCCAAGAAATAGTAAAGTCATTTCCCAGGAATCATTAATATGTTGATGTTAAATTTCTTTGTTTCCTGTACCAATTTTGAAAACTAGATTCTGTCAGATGGTTTCCACACTACCATGATTGAATTAGTTTAGGTTAATGCTTCTTCCCCAAACAGTATATTATTTTTCAAAAAGTGGGGAACCTCCACAACATAACTTTAAAGTGACTTGAATATAAAGCTAGTTCTTTTATAATTTTTGGGAACTCTTTCAGCTTATGCATGTAAAGTGCCTAGCGCAGTACTTGGCACATAGAAAATGCTTAATAAATTTATAAAATAAATTTTTATAATGTAGCCATTTGTGTACAATTTTGGCAGTAAACAAATGATAGGGGCCGAAACCGGTTTGGCTCAATGGTTAGAGCGTCGGCTTGGGGACTGAAAGGTCCCGGGTTCGATTCCCGTTAAGGGCATGTACTTTGGTTGCGGGCATATCCCCAGTAGGGGGTGTGCAGGAGGCGGCTGATCGATGACTCTTTCTCATCGATGTTTCTTACTCTCTATCTCTCTCCCTTCCTCTCTGTACAAAAACAATAAAATATATTTTAAAAAAAAAAACAACAAAAAACAAATGATAGGGGATAATATACATTGTTCTATGTGTAGTAGGTACTGAAAACTGCTCTTCAAGGCCAGTCTTTGTTGTATGGATTAAGTGGAGGTATTTACATGGCATTTACTTGTTGAGTAGCATCTATTGTGCACAATTCTTGAGTCAGGCAGTGTGGGGAGAGGATACTAGAGAAAGATGATGTAAGCTCCATTAGGTTTAATTCCTGTAAGATATTGTGTTCTTTATAAATGGTTTAAAATTTGTTTAAAATTATATTTTTAACTTTGTGAAAGAACAAAAGAAATGGTTTGTACTTCTAGTACCACAAAGAATAATGGGGAAGGAAGCAGTTTGACCATGAGGATTAGGAAGGGTTAATGAAGGTGGGGCCCACCTTAGCCTTTGACAGTGGGTTTTTGGGGTTGAGGCCAGGTCAGAGGTGGGGACAGTGTCTCAGAGAGAGGTGAGCAGAGGACTTGAGGTACCTGTGAGTGTGGTCCAGTAAGTGAGTAGAATGGCAGCTGAAAAGGTGGGGAAAGGCTAGAGCTTAAGTATAGCTAGCTATTGAGGAATGCTAAGTGCCAACCTGAAGAGTTACTTAGATGTTATAAGTTAATATACATAAAGTGCTTAGCATATAACAGCAGTACTCAAGTGTTGTTGTTTTTTTATTAAATGAGATGTTATATTTATTTATTTATTTATTTATTTATTTATTTATTACATGTTTTATTGATTTTTTTGTTTTTACCCCCCTCCCTCCCTCCTACACATCCCCTCCCTCCCCAGAGTTTTATGTCCATTGGTTGTACTTATATGCGTGTATATAAGTCCTTCGGTTGATCTATTATCTCCCCCAGATCTTCCTCCCCTCCCCACTGTAATTTGACAGTCTGCCTGTTGCTTTACTTTCTCTATATCTGTCTCTTGGTTCATCGGTTTATAATGATCTTTATCGTCCACCAATGAGTGAGGTCATGTGGTATTTCTCTTTCATTGATTGGCTTATTTCACTCAGCATGATGTTCTCCAATTCCATCCAGGTTGCTGCAAATGATAAGAATTCCTTCTTTTTTATGGAAGCATAGTATTCCATTGTGTAGATGTACCAAAGTTTTTGGATCCAATCATCTGCTAATGGGCACCTAGGCTGTTTCCAAATTCTGGCTATTGTAGATTGTGCTGCTATGAACATAGGGGTGCAAATATCCTTTCTGATTGGTGTTTCCAGTTTCTTGGGATATATTCCTAGAAGTGGGATTACTGGGTCAAATGGGAGTTCCATTTTCAGTTTTATGAGGAAACTCCACACTGTTCTCCACAGTGGTTGCACCAGTCTGCATTCCCACCAGCAGTGCACGAGGGTTCCTTTTTCTCCACACCCTCGCCAACACTTGTTGTTTGTTGATTTGTTGATGTTGGCCATTCTCACAGGTGTGAGATGGTACCACATTGTTGTTTTGATTTGCACCTCTCGGACAATTAGTGACTTTGAGCATGTTTTCATGTGCGTTTTGGCCTACCTTCTGTCTTCTTTTGAAAATATTCTATTTAGGTCTATTGCCCATTTTTTAATTAGATCATTCATCTTCCTTTTATTTATTTGTATAAGCTGTCTGTAAATGTTGGAGATTAAACCTTTATCAGTGGTATTATTTGCAAATATGTTCTCCCACACTGTGGGCTTTCTTGTTGTTTTGATGATGGTTTCTTTTGCTGTAAAAAAGCTTTTTATTTTGATGTAGTCCCATTTGTTTATTTTCTCTTTAGCTACCATTGCCCTAGGGGCAGTATCAGTGAAGAAGTTCTTTTGGCATACGTCGAAGATTTTGCTGCCTGTGGATGCTTCTAGTATTTTTATGGTTTCCCGTCTGATGTTTAAGTCCTGTATCCATTTTGAGTTAATTTTTGTGAATGGTGTAAGTTGGTGATCTAGTTTCATTCTTTTGCATGTGTCTGTCCAATTTTCCCAACACCATTTATTGAAGAAACTGTCTTGACTCCATTGTATATTGGTGCCTCCTTTGTCAAATATTAATTGAGCATAGTGATTTGGGTTGATATCTGGGTTCTCGATTCTATTCCATTAATCTATATGTCTGTTTTTGTGCCAGTACCAGGCTGTTTTAAGAACAGTGGCTTTGTAATATAGTTTGAAGTCTGGTATTGAGATCCCTCCTACTTTACTCTTCTTTCTCAGGATTGCTGTGGCTATTCGGGGTCTTTTATTGTTCCAAATGAACTTTAGGAGAGTTCTTTCTAGGTCAGTGAAATATGTCGTTGCTATTTTAATGGGGAGTGCATTGAACTTATAGATTGCTTTAGGAAGTATGGACATTTTGATGATGTTGATTCTACCAATCCATGAACATGGTATGTTTTTCCATCTCCTTACATCTTCCTCTATCTCTTTTTTCAGTGTCGTGTAGTTTTCTGCATATAGGTCCTTTACTTCCTTAGTTAAATTTATTCCTA